CATGTGTGAGATCGAAAGTCATGGCTTTGGATTTCACTGCTAAAGAGTCCTATACTAGGACAAAATGGCAGTGGAGTGCTTCTATGTGATCAATAGTGGTCTAGATTAGATCGACTTATGAATTCAACTACTAAAGTTAGTTATTTCAAATTCCAAAGAACAAATAATGCGAACTACACTTGAATGTCTTCAAAAGAATATGGATATGTTTACCAATTGATCGTAAAATACTGTATTAAATTTACAATCTATGACATTTAGATCTATCATTGATTTATATTATTGCAGAAACGTTTAAAAATAGGGGGTCACTAGATAGTTCTTTCATTTAATTTTAAGACAGCTTAATAATGAACAGATCAGATGAAGATATAAAGGTGAGAATTGACAAAGCAAGGTCCGCATTCATACAATTGAACAACATATGCAACTCAAAACAACTTTCAACTAATATGAAAGTCACAATCTTCAATACGAACATCAACACAGTTAGTTCTACTGTATGGAGCTGAAACTTCGAGAACTACTACAACCATCATCAAGAATGTACAAGTATTTATCAATAGTTGTCTACGCAAGATACTCGACATTCACTGGCCAGATACTATCAGCAACAGCCTACGGTTGGAGAGAACAAACGAACTTCCTTCGGATTCGGAAATTACGAAAAGACGATGGAAATGGATAGGACATACATTACTGAACTCATCAAACTACATCACGAGACGATCCCTAACTGGGTATCCTGGAGGGAAGCGGAAAAGAGGAAAGCCAAAGAATACAATACGTTGTGAAATCGAATCGGATATGAAAGGTACGAATAAGAACTGGAAATATCTAGGAAGAATTTCCCAGGACAGGGTTAGATGGCGAATGCTCGTGGGTGAACTATGCTCCTTCACGAGGAGTAACAGGCGCAAGTAAGTTAATAATGAGCGTTTGACATAGTACTACGGATTATATCTCAAATTTTTCAAGTTGCACAGTGACTAAATTTGCTATTGAACTACTGAGTTGAAGTTCATTAGTCTAAATTTCTATTTTTATGCCTTGAGATTATCATGTATGCAAATCAAATCCCATACTACTACTTAATCAACTCAGTAGTATTAATCGTTATATTTCGGTTCTTAGTGGATTTGGAAATGGACAACTGATAAGGCATCTATTAGAGTTTCGTTGTAGATTATTTTACGAAAGCAACATTTTACAGATTACAACAGATAATCACAAAATTAGAATAACTAAAAGCATAAATAGGTTTACTGTTCAAAATTTTTTAATAACCCAATCAGTACTACTTATTGGATTATATCACTATTAATACAATAGATTTGTCGAGTTTAACTCGCGTTCATGCGCTGGGACATCCGATACGCATGCCTGACCACCGACTGCCCCGACGTGCGATGTTTTATGGTGTAGGAGTAGGTTGGAAGGAAACTAGGGGTGGCCAGATCAAAACATGACACAAATCCATGAAGTCACTGACAAGTGGATTGAGTCATGTTAGTAAGTGTAGACTACTTGGTTGGGGACCGCGAGATGATAGCAACCGATGGTTAGAGATCTTGAATGACATGGCTCAAAATCGTTTACAATGGCGCAGGTGCATCCACTCCTAGTGTTCTCCCAAATTCTAATCATCTGAATTCTTCATGTCCTTTATTTTCTTTCCAAATTTATTCCACTGGACTATACTCCTTTAATAACATCATCAAACCTTAATGTCCCCTATCTCTACTTATACTTTCAGTACCTCTACCACTATGGGATTTGAATCGATAACTGAATCTCTGTGCTAATGTGGTATGGCAACTCGAACTGATGTACGTACGTACGTACGAAGTTCCACGTTGTTACTGACTGACTGACTGACTGACTGACTAACTCCTCAGCAGCTTTAATTGACTCATGATCTTAACCATTGAAATTATTATAATCATCATAAAACCTCTTCTAATAAAAATCAGTTTTTTATCATTTATTCATTGTATTAATGTTGATCTGTTTTCAGAAAGTACTTTGAATGTGCTTACAAACTTTAACTTGATCTCATTCCATTAGTACAATTATAGGAACATTAAATGTCTAGTCAATGTTAAGGATAATAATAATAATAATAAAAGATGCCATGACAACCATTCAACGAAATAGTTCATGTAGTCATACGTATTTCACTGGAATCTTCATTTTATAGTATAAAATCATAACCATACACTAACTGATAATCGAACACATAATTGTTCCTTGTAATGTCTGTTATTATATTAAGCCCATATACCTTATTATTCTTGGCTTTCAGACATCTCAATCTATTCATTCTACTTGAGTTACATTCTGACCTTGTTCATTATTCACTTATCAATCTTGACAGTGTTTATATGAAGGGAGTTGGCTTATCCACCAATGTGTTCTTATCCCATTACTCATTACATGTCTGTAACTTATTTTTGTGTGCTTATAAATATGGATTAACGTTTGGTTAAATGGGGGAGTTGGTTTACCAGCCATCTCCACTGTGCGTTATCTTTGCTCCAATTTCTTCTCTTTGCATCGTTTCCCCGTTCGTTTGTTTGAATCAACGATTCTACAAAATATATGTATTCAAAAGTCTATTCTCGTTATTTGACTTATTTCATTCTGTTATTATGAAGGCACGGATTGGCAAAGCAAGAGCAGCATATTTACAACTGAAGAATATCTGGAACTCAAAACAATTAGCAACCAACACCAAAGTCACAATTTTCAATACAAATGTCAAAACAGTTCTACTGTATGGGGCGGAAACCTGGAGAACTATTAAAGTCATCATCCAGAGGATACAGGTGTTTATTAATAGTTGTCTACGCAAAATACTTCAGATCCGTTGGCCGGATACTATTAGCAACAACCTACTGTGTGAGAGAACAAATCAGATCCCAGTGGAGGAAGAAATCAGGAAGAAGCGCTGGAAGTGGATAGGACACACACTGAGGAAAGCACCGAACTGCGTCACAAGACAAGCCCTCACATGGAATTCTCAAGGTCGAAGGAGGAGAGGAAGACCAAAGAATACATTACGCCGAGAAATGGAGATAGATATGCGAAAAATGAACAAGAATTGGATGGAACTAGAAAAGAAGGCCCAGAACAGAGTGTGTGGGTTGGAGAATGCTGGTCAGCGGCCTATGCTCCATTGGGAGTAACAGGCGTAAGTAAGTAAGTAAGTAAGTAAAGATTAAATTATAGGTAACTTTCAAAGACTATGAATAGACTATTATTCTATAAATATTCTTATTGTATAATTATTCAAGCATTACATTATGTATATTTATATTGTACTTTTAATAAGCTTTAATTTGATCCATAGATTATTACTATACGATTGATTATTATTAAATTATAGCCTGTCTATTAATTACTATTGTGGTGTATACTACTTATGTAAACATAAGTAGTATATGACATGAGTCATAAACAGAATGTCTGTAAAGACATTTATATGAAAATGATGTTCTTGTTCACTACGTTATCTCCTATGTTCACAGCCACCTTTTTTTGGCTTATTTCTGTGTACACATATTGTTTTCTATTTTAATGGTACGTTGTGGTTTATCTGGTTAATATATAAACAGAGTATGTCTCAGATAAACGATTCGGTCCGGTTTGATTCGATTCAATTCATAGTAAAGAAGCTGGTATTGTGTTCTGAACTCAAGTGGACAAGTTAGAAGGACATACGACCCAATAAGGACGCTAGAATGCTCATACCAGTTGAACATGATTGGTTTTGTCATAGTGGAAAGATTTGTATAGGTCGTTTTCTGATTGGTGGATAAGTCAGCTGATTGGGAACCGGATATAAAATCATAATACTTTTTGAGTATATTATCCATGTTATATATACACACATATGAATGTGATTTAGAAGAACACATTTTACAGTTTTTTATGTTTTGATTTGAAAGTTTATAAACAAATCTATACTGATTTAGAGTATCAATACTGTTTATTAATAAAGATTTATGTAACTTGAGTCATTTTATTTATTTATTTAAATACATAAATATTGGTACAAGGAGGTATCAAATAGATATGTGACACATGAATTATTCGGAGCTCATGTACAACATTAGTTTGGAATTAGTGTTTTCCAACTGTCCCTAGTTAGATCCTTCATATCTACCAATCCGGTTAAAGTACCTGACATTTGCTTTTCATCCTTAGGATTTGGTAAACGATTGTAATGCCACGAGAAGGCAGTGAGTAAAACTTCCCTGACAATAATTGTATGCACGTAACTATGTGAGAACATTTAGAGAGGGAAAGTTGACTCTCCCTAACTCTTGGTCATATCAGATCATTTGATAGTTAACTTTAGCCAAACAATTCAACAATATATTCGATCAACGTGTTACCTTTAAAATAAACTTAAACAATTAACAATCTTATGCAACAAAAATTTTGATAGAATTTTATTCTTTGAACTAGATAACTTGATTATAGAGCTTTCATTGTTCCACTGAACGACATCATCATCATCATCATCATCCAAATCATCATCATCATCATCCAAATCATCATCATCATCATCATCATCATCATCATCATCATCATCCAAATCATCATCATCATCATCATCATCATCATCATCATCATCATCATCATCATCATCCGAAGCATCATCATCATCCAAAGTATCATCATCATCCAAAGCATCATCATCATCATCATCCGAAGCATCATCATCATCATCATCCAAAGTATCATCATCATCCAAAGCATCATCATCATCCAAAGCATCATCATCATCATCCAAAGTATCATCATCATCCAAAGCATCATCATCATCCGAAGCATCATCATCATCATCATCCAAAGCATCATCATCATCATCATCAGGAGGATAAACTTCAGGTAAAAGTCTACTTCTATCACAAAGATCAATTTTAACAAACAAATCACCATGTCAAAGATTTTGTTTCTATGTACATTAAAATAACAAAAATCATACTTACTTTATTGTTAAAATGAATCCAGAATTATTCATTAAATAAATTAATTCTAATCTATTTATTATTGTTTATGATTGTGTTGTTTTGTTTTGTTTTGTTTTGTTTTATATCCATCAAGGATGATATATATTCATAAATTATTGATTATTGTTTTAATCTATATTATTCATTTAAATATATATATATATAAAACCCCATAGTAACATTCAAATATTTTATCATAGTAACAAAAAATTATTTTCAATTTTCCTATTTATATATATATATATATATATATACATAATGAAATAATCACTAGGGTGAGGGGGGTAGTATATTACCTGTTTCTATTCGTATATATATATATATACCCATAACTATGACCTTGTGAGTGAATGGAAATAAGCACCAATAGAAATTAAGTTTTTATGATTATGTTATTTATGTAATCATTTTTTTTTTACTAGAATGGGTTTGGTGGAGAATTGGTCATTTCAATAGTTGAAATCATGAATCCATTGAAGTGTGATCATCATCATGGAAAACCTGGAAGCACTGGACGGCTGTTTCGTCCTAGTATGGGACTCTTCAGCAGTGCGCATCCACGATCCCGCCCCCCCCCCGCGGGATTTGAACCCAGGACCTATCAGTCTCGCGTCGTTCGTTTTTATTCAGGACTCTTCAGTTGGATACTAATAAGAAATAGATTAATTTTAATTCAAAATATTAAAATAGGAAGATTCAAGTCAATAATACCAAATGAATTGATAAGTTTATAATTACTTGACAATTGAATGGCCCCCAAATGCCCTGATATGGCCAAGAATAGGGTAGGTTCACCCTCCCTCTTGAAATACTCTCACATGATCACGCGTATACAGCCTCTACCAGGGAATTCCTAATCACTGCCTTCTCGTGGCAATATTGTTGTTTACGTAAAATGACAGGATGAAAAGTGAATTTCCTGCGCTATAACCGGATCGCAAATCAATAGTGCACATGGGCTCGATCTAGTATTCTGAAAGAAGAAATGGCATATGAACCAATCGTTGGTCACCGACTATCATGGGACTGCATCTCCTCACGATGTTCCACTGCCTTGTGGATAAGAACTTTAGGCTCAAAGGCTCGGGGTGTGGCCCTCTAAGAAAACCATCTGGTTCGGTTTGAGCACCCGGGCAGTATCTCAGCCCACACACGAAACCATGGTGTGGCGTATATATATTTGGTGCCCTCTTGTACCAATATTTATGTGTTCAAATAAATCAATAAATACATAGGATAATTCAACTTGGTAAATTTGTTTTTGCATAGATACTAAAATTTAAATCAAATATTTATACACTTCAATAAATCGATATGAAGCTTAATAACTTAATACTCTATGAATATTTATCGTTTAACCGAAACAAACTCATCATTTAAAGTTATCAATAAGATAACTGGATAAATAACTAAGGTAATAGACTTTCATATTCTTTGAATCACTAAAACTTTTACTATGTATTTCTTTGTTTCTATCTTTAATAAATTGTTGCTATGCTATGTTTATCAAACATTGTATTCATTATTGTTGTTGTGGCAAAATGTTTACATTGGTGATTACATAGAATTGATGATGAGTTTGCCAAAAACAGAAAACTTTGTTGAATATGTAGTGAACATGAACACCGGTTGGGTACTTTTGACGAATTACAGAACTAGTTAGTAAAATCTAACAACCATATAGTAAATGGTTGATTTGCAAAATGTCCGTCGATTGGCTCAAAATGACTCAGACTTCTTTTGCTCTTGCATTTTCATACAAATTACATTCTGTTTTCATTCGGTCTTCTTGTCTCTCTGCTGCCAGACATTCTGTTCACATCATATACTACTTATGGTCTACATATAAGTAGCACACATCACAAATGTAGCTGTACCTAAAGATCGATCTCAAGTTTCTAAAAAATATATTTGTAATGCTTACGGTCGACTTGGTGAAATGTAAACTACAAATAACAGAATCTTATTCTATTCTCTGAAGATTTCACTATTTAACCTTCAAACTTAACTACAGCAATTTACAGTTTGAATGTATTCGAGACCATTTGAATTCTCCTTAAAAAGAGTAGAAATTTGATGGTCTTCGGAAATCAAATTAGTTATCAAAAGGTTATAAAGTACTCCAAAGTTTTGGGAACGTTTACACATACATATGGAATACAGAACCAAGATATTTTGGGATGCAGTAGCACTTGAAAATATACCAGATGAAGCACTGAAGTTACACATATAAGCAACTGCAAACGTGCTCTACGTTCTATTCAGAAAGATTTGGAAGCAAGGATAACTGCTGACAAGCCGGAAAGAGTGATACCTCATTAAGATACAAAAGAAAAGAGATCTGAGCAAATGTGAAAACTACGAAGGCATCACATCACTATCAGTACTAGGAAAGCTTTTCAACTGAGTGTTACCTAATCCAGTAAAAGATTTAGTCGGCAGGCTATCTTTGACACAAACAGGCTGTATTATAAGGTACGACCACGTATTGACTTAAATCTCCACGCTTTGGATCAATATTGAGAATTAGATTGAATAAAATTCATCAACATATATCAAACTACTTGATCGTTAGAAATCATTCGACAGGGAGAATAAGAGAGTCTCTTGGAATCGTCTTCGACACTGCATTTTACCTAAGAAAATTTTCAACATCTAAATGAACTGTTACAGTAAACTGAACTTCAAAAGTCATCCATGGATGTAGTTCACATGTGCGTTTTAAGTCAATTTTACTATCTGATAAAACTCTTTACACTCACTTTTTCTCTTTTTTTGTGGTTGTTTTCTGAATTATGGAGACTTTCATATCTGGAGCCCCCAAATGCGCTGGTATGGCCGAGAGTGGGGGGAATCCGCTCCCCCTCTCGAAATGCTCTCACATGGCCACGGGTATACAGCTCAGGGAAGTCCTACTCACTGCTTTCTCGTGGCGGGGGTGTTGTTTACGAAAATGAGAGGACATAAAGCGAATGTCCGGCACCGGCTTTAACCGGATCCCAAACCAATGGTGCACATGGGTTGGCTCCAGTATCCTGCTTGAGGGAACAAATGGCGTATGAACCAATCGTTGGTCATCGGCTACCATGGGACTGCATCTCCTCACGATGCTCCACTGTCTTGTGGGTCAGACATTCAGGTCAAAGGCTCGGGGTGTGGCTCCCTAAGAAAACCACCTACTTCGGTTTGGGCACCCGAGCAGTATCACAGCCCTCACACATATCAATTGAGATTTGTGTGGCGCATATGTATTTGGTGCCTTTTTGTGCCGATATCTATGTGTTAAAATAAATAAATAATAAATCATATCTGGAGGGGCGGAAAATACAGTAGACAACTTGAATGCAACTAGACGATTTGGATTTCACTGATGTCCTAGCTCTTCTATCCTACACATGGCAACAAATTCGGAAATGAAAAGAAGACAGATCAAAGAACACATGAAACCTTAAATCCAAGGTGAATATCTAAAGAATTCATATCACTTAATAACATTTAGAAAGAAGTGGTCAGGATGAAGTGAATTGATAGAAATCTTAATTAGAAACATTCATATCATCCTGTAATTATCTATATCTTTATTAAAAGATTGTGACATTTTGGAAAGACACCAATGTAATTTACTTTATTCAAAACTTGAAATGAATTTAGAAATCTGTCAAAATGGTCTTACGTAATCAGAAGTTACTAGGATAATCATTATGGATAGTACAGGTAGTTGAGTGCAATCATAATAATAATAATAATAATAATAATAACAATACAATAGTTGATTATATACAATGATCTAACATTTATCCAAATGGACATACAAAATTGATAATGTCACATTTTAGCATTGGATTTATATAGAAGATCAAATGAATATTTCAAAATCCACCATTGAAATTACTATGCACTTGATAGATATATACTGGTCGGTGTTCGATAATATTCTTTAAACTCCGTATATAATTCATCTCGGTAACCGTCACTAAATAACGCTCCAACGGTATATTAATCAGATGGTGTATACAAAGTGTTCATTACGTTTATTATTGGACCACACACAGAGATCCAAAATTACAGATACTTTAAGCAAGCATAAAATAGTTGTGCCGCTAGGCAAACAGGCAAGTAAGTGAGTGAGTGAGTGAGTGAGTGAGTGAGTGAGTGAGTAAGTGAGTGAGTGAGTGAGTGAGTGAGTGAGTGAGTGAGTGAGTGAGTGAGTGAGTGAGTGAGTGAGTGAGTGAGTGAGTGAGTGAGTGAGTGAGTGAGTGAGTGAGTGAGTGAGTGAGTGAGTGAGTGAGTGAGTGAGTGAGTGAGTGAGTGAGTGAGTGAGTGAGTGAGTGAGTGAGTGAGTGAGTGAGTGAGTGAGTGAGTGAGTGAGTGAGTGAGTGAGTGAGTGAGTGAGTGAGTGAGTGAGTGAGTGAGTGAGTGAGTGAGTGAGTGAGTGAGTGAGTGAGTGAGTGAGTGAGTGAGTGAGTGAGTGAGTGAGTGAGTGAGTGAGTGAGTGAGTGAGTGAGTGAGTGAGTGAGTGAGTGAGTGAGTGAGTGAGTGAGTGAGTGAGTGATGAATATGAATAACATGGACATATATATATACATAGTGAAATGAATGAATCATCGAGTCAATTAAGTGGTTAATAGTAAAGCTAGTAGAGTGAATAAATGCGTAGGCAGTAAGGCTTGCCCAAGCATACATGTTTATGCATTCGCAACAGTAATATGGATACAATGATATAGCTAAGTTGTTGTATGGATAACTCAGTTCGTTAATAGGTTAATAAAATGATTTAACCGAATTAAATGTGAATAAACACAATAGCATGTGAACTATTATAGATATCATAATTACAGAAAATAATTTATCTTTGAATATAACGGGTGGTTGGACTATCATTTATAGACAAATCAATCAGGTATAAGAGAACAGATCTCTGATTTTGGCACAGAATTCACTCATCTATTTGGCTAAATAGAGTTTTAACATTATAGCTTATGTCAGGTTGGTGATGAGAACCCTAAATCTAATTCCTAACCCTTAACCATCAACTGTAAATCATAATTCTAATTCCTCATACATTGGTTTATAACTTTCATTCGGTCTTAGTTACTAGGTAAACACTCTGAAGATCACTTGAGCGTCGTTCAAAGGTTGTCCAAAAATTATAGTCTCAACTAACTAGTTATCAATCTAGTTCTGTCTTAGCTGCGGAACGTTTA